GTGTTACTGTGAATTTACTTATCAATTTGTTAACAATGTATATTTTTATGGCTTTACTGTTTTACCGGTACCTCTGTTTATTATTACGTTATTGCACCAACATTACCGTTTTTAACGAGAAATCTTGTATATCGTATGCTTAATCTTTTAATTAATGTTCAACGCGTCGAACCCACATGTCAAATGTAAGTCCACATTTTTGTTCATTTATGTCAATCACGGCCTTTTTATAAAATTGTTAACCTCCTATTAATTTTTGTAGCAAATAGCTGATGAGGGACTCTATGTCCGAAATGCATTCTGAAAATAAAATAGTGTTTTTCTAAATCTAATTTGATGTCCTGTGGTGGTGTAATAAGTCTAGAAGTAAAGTAAAGCCAATCTTAGCGCTCACTAACCATTGAGAAGACTAGACAAGAAGCGTATCATAGTATCTAAAGGTCTGTTCACATGTATTAGTCCACTCGGTTCTGTTAAATGTCATCTGTCAGTGATAAAAAATATCATTAACATCCTTATAGGTTACTGGATTCACTCCTACTAGATTTGTCATAATGGTTAACTTAATGGACAATTCAGACTTTTTAAATTAAAATTATTTTAGACTTTTAATTTCTCCTCAGTAAATTTTTACAATTGCTTTTCCTTATGTTTATCTTAACACTTTCAATGTGTTTCAATTTAAATTAAAGATATTATAAGTCCAAATTGTCTATTAAGTCAACTGTTGTGACAAATCTAATCTAGGTGAAAGTGGATCAAGTAACTTGTAAAGATGTCAACAAATTCTATTAGATATGAAACAAACAACAACAAAAAAATTCTTTGCTTTGAATTTGATTGAAGTATTCACACATGTACCTTCAGTGTCTGATCAGTATTTGTACTGTGATTTAAAGTTTTTTTTTTTTTTTCTTTTTTACAGACACACTACGGTGACATTATTCAACACTTGGCAGATTATTCACCACTTTATTCCAACTGAATAAAGTGGTGAATAATCTGCCAAGTGTTGTAGTGTGTCTGTAAAAAAGCAAGGTAAACTACAACACGGTTTCATCAGAATCAAGTGATTTAAAGTATTACTGCCAACAATATTTTTGATTTTTCACTGATATTATTATACAGTTCCCTATTTGTGCTTACATTTAATTTCTATATTTTAAGTAAAAATGCTTTTTTTTATGTTTTAAATGTTTCATTAATGAAATAATAATTTATTTTTTATATAAACATATTTGAACATTTTTAATAAATATTTTATTTATATAATTATAAAATTTTTTTATATTTTTACATATATTGTATTTTTTTTTTATATTTATATTTCATATTCTGTTTTCCTTTTAAAGGATAACAAACTTCTTTACTTTGACTTTTCTTCCATGCATCAAATACTATTTTTACTGATGTATTTCCTCTTCATTCAAAATTATGGCAACTATTGCTAATTCTGTGAATTTTGACATCTGGAATATCACTGACATGACACTGATCAAACTGCATATATATCTGTATATATACATTACTTACAGGTCATGGATGTCACTAACATAGAAGTGACACATTACTGATGTGTGTGAATTGACCTTAAAGGTTGAATTTGTTACATTGATTTTGTTGTTATTGTGTATGGCCATAATGTTTTTATTGTGGTTTCAGATAATTATAATTTGCAAACAGAAAAATAAATTAGTATTAGGCTGTGTACACATAGACTGATGCTAATTTCAAGATTTAAAATTTTTTTGGCTGTCTTGAAGAGTGAAAGTAGTGGCAATACAAACAATTGAATTTTATTCAAAATTTTTGATAACATATATTGTTTATTTGATTTTTTTCTGTATACAAATGAAAAGATTAATAGGATTAGATGATTTTTCATCTTTGAGTACTAAAGACTCGCCACTTATGTCATACAGGTGTTCACTTTCACATTTATCCAAGTGCAAAAAAGTGCATTAGTTCCATTGTGATGTGTAGAGTAAAATAAATAAATTAATTAAAAAATGAGACATCTATAAATTGTGCAGTAGTTCTGAGGCAATATGTAACATGATAATGCAAATTAAAAATGCAATCTTGATAAATCATATGACAACATATGATGCTGATATCCTTACAGAACAGTCAACATCATGCAGTCTGCTAATTGATAGAACACTTCAACAATGTCTTAGATCACAAACACTACTGCGAAATGATTATACTTTAGGAGAAACAAGATGAAATGCATGAGAATCAGTGCACAGATTCTATTAGTGCTTTCCAGCTGCATCAAGACTTACTGTATGCATATGGTGATTCTGAATATAATTTGTCTTTTGATAGTAATCTGTAACATAGTTAAGAATCATGGTCTGGAGGCCCTGAGTCTTGACAATGTAAGAAAGCACAAACATTCGATAAACACTTGACATCATGTGGCATTATGTCACATATTGTACTCTCTTTTCAAGATGGCAGTATGAACGTTTTTGGATACAAAATATAATGATTTGTAACTTGACTCAGTAAGGAAAATGTATCAATAATTTTCTAGCAACCATTAATCCATTTGTTTGTTGACTCAATGGTGATTATATTTGTTGTGTATATAATGGCAGTAAAAAAGGAAAGACATCAGAATGATTAAGATTTTCTAGATATTGTATTTGTTGGCAAGTGAAACAATTAAAATATTTTCAGTTGTAATGTGGGAATTTGTCATATTAATGTAATGAATAAATTAATTGTAATTGTAAGTGAATTCAACAGTATATCATTATTAATGGACATTACATCTATATGTTTAATTTTGCTTGAATATAGATGTTAGGATCAAAGAACGAAAACACTCATTGAGCAAAAACAATTACCACAACACATTGTGGTCACTTTAAATCATCCACAACACAAAATTCATGTTGCACTTGTAAAAACAGCCGCAAAGTGTTGTGACTAACTCAAAAATACCATATAGTGAAATTTGCGTCGCAGCTTTCACAACATTTGACCACTATGCATTGTGGTGATTAAGAAAAGCCATAACGCGTTCTGAATGTTAGCTGATGCAACCATGATAGAGAGTGATAAGACGCACAGTGGTTTGTAACTTTAAAATATGGGTTCTAGGCCTCAAAACATTTTTATTTACAATTTTTAATGCTGAACAGCATTAGTTCTACTACAAGTTTCCCTAGAAATTTAATTTTCATACTTAAAAAAATTTCAAAGAAATAAAATATATGGAGAAAACTACACATTTTTTTTTTTTTTTTTCGCCTAAAAGTGCTAAAGGTCAAACTACATGCCCTAATAGGTGCTTGATGTAATCTACACAATGACATAAAAATCAGCTGCTAAAGTTATAAACCACTTGTGACAAATTTATTATGGTTAAAGCCACCACAAGTTCTGGATGTTAATAACGAGGTTATGATAAAAAAATAAAACTTTGTAACTTGGTTATTTTTCAACAACATTTAATCATTCCTGAAAATCTGTTGTAGTGCTGGAGATGTCAACATTTTCTAATGACTAATTTACTAAAAATAATTACTTTGTCAGGAACTTTTATTAATAAATCAGTCTTTTTTTTACTTTCTTGAAATCGTGTTGGTGATTATTTCTGTCGTTTTTGAACACTATATAGTGTTTAAAAACGACAGACTTTTTTTTATGAGAATCAAGAATGTTGCAAAGTTATTTATTTTTACAAGAACTATTAACATGAAATTTTGAGTAACATTTTATGTTTTTTCAGCAACATTTGCATTTTTTTATCAATATAGTATCTTTTACAGTGAGACATTATAAACCCTCGCTTACTGCCAGATGTTAATGTGGATGCTGAGTGAAGTGTTAATGAAGTTGAGGGTACATCGTGAATGTTAATAAAGTTACTCTCATAAATTGTAAATTCATTACTAGCATAAAGTCGATCAGGAAGACCTTCCTTGTTTCCTAACTGATAGAGACCTGATGGATTAATGCTCATAGCAACATTTCTGGGAGCTGCACATCTATCAACATCAGGCACCCTAAAACATTTGAACCAATT